TAGCCAATTGCTCACCCATCGTATGATGCTTTTATTTAGCTGTATGGTGGACATTTTGTCCAGTAGGATCCTATGGGAAACCATGTCAAAAGCCTTGCTGAAGTCCAAAAAAATCACATCAGCTGGTTTCCCTTGGTCCACCATACGGGTGATCTTATCATAAAAGGAAATCAGGTTAGTTAGGCAGGACCTACCCTTCACAAACCCATGCTGGCTGGGACCAATGACTGCTTTGTCCCCCAGGTGCGCCTCAATACGTTCAAGAACCATCTTCTCCATGATTTTACCAGGCACTGACGTGAGACTGACAGGCCTGTAATTGCTAGGGTCTTCTTTCTGACCCTTCTTGAAAATCGGCACAACATTTGCCAGCTTCCAGTCTACCGGGACCTCTCCAGACTCCCAGGATCGTTGAAAAATAATTGAGAGAGGTTCCGCGATGACGTCCGCCAGCTCCTTCAGCACCCGGGGATGAATCCCATCCGGACCCATGGACTTGTAGGGATCCAGGTGGAGTAGCAAATCCCGCACACGTTCAGGGTTGGTTGGGAGTTTGTCATCCCCACCGTCCCGGTCCTCCAGCTCAGGGCACCCTGGGTCCCGAAGCCCATCATCGGCATTGAAGACAGAGGCAAATAAGGCGTTAAGCGTCTCTGCTTTGCCTATGTCATCGTCTGTGAGAAGACCTTCCCTATCAAGGAGCGGCCCTATGTATTCTTTAGTTCTCCTTTTTCCATTCACATATCTAAAAAAACCCTTTTTATTTTCTCTCACAGACACAGCCAGCTTCAACTCTAGGTGTGCTTTAGCCACACGAATTTTCTTCCTACAAATACGAACAGCATCCCTGTATTCTTTCCATGACACCTGGCCCTCCTTCCAGTAGCGAAATACTCTCTGTTTCCGCCTAATCTCCATTAGAATGTTCCTGGTCAGCCACGCCGGCCTCCTGCCGCACCTGCCTGACTTGCGGTATTTAGGAATTGCCTGATCTTGTGCTTCTAGGAGGCATCGCTTAAAGAGTGACCAGCACTGGTGGACATCAAGGCCTTCAAGAGCAGCTTCCCAGGGGACCTTGCTGACTAGTTCCCTGAGCAGCCTGAAGTCCGCCTTTCCCATATCTAGGGATGAGGTTTTGGTGGCACTTTTCCTTCTGTCACCGTAAATTTTGAACTCAACCACTTCATGGTCACTATGACCGAGGCGGCCACCAATCACCACATCTCCCACCAGACCCTCTCTGTTTTCTAGCAACAGGTCTAGGAGGGCACCTTTCCTAGTTGGCTCTGTTAGCACCTGCACCAAGATGTTATCATCTAGGTGCTTCATGAACCTCCTGGACTTGCTCGTGTCAGCCGTGTGGCACTCCCAGTTAACGTCTGGCAAGTTGAAGTCCCCCGTAAGGACAAGGGGAGTTAATCTCGAGGCCTCTCTTAGTTCTGTAAAGAATAATTTATCGGCGCTATCGTCCTGGCCAGGCGGTCTGTAATAGACTCCCACAACGACATCCCCTTTATTCGTTCGTCCCTTGATCCTTACCCAGAGGCTCTCAACTTTGCCATCGCCGACCTGGAGTTCCACACAGTCCAGCCCCTGCTTCACATACATCGCCACCCCACCACCTCTCCTACCCTGCCTGTCCCTCCTGAAGAGCCTGTAACCATCTATCGCAACACCCCAGTCACAGGACTCATCCCACCAGGTTTCGCTTATGCCGATGATGTTGTAGTTGCGGGACTGGGCCAGGACTTCTAGCTCATCCATTTTATTCTTCATACTGCGTGTAATAATTACAAAGTCTCAAAATATAAGCATACAGAAGAAATTATATATATTGTTATAATGAGAGAAATTATATATATGCTTAAAAGCACATATCAGAAATGAGGTTTGTTTTTAATCTGGCCTTCTAAGATTTGGTTTTTAACCTTAATGTGGCCTAAAGCTTTTAGGTGAAAACACTGATAACTTTTGATGAATGCTGCATTTGTAGAAACACTGGAGAAAGTGATGATGGGGGCTAGTCTGAATTGAGTTAACACTCAGTTAGGAGTGTTAACACTCAGTTAGGAGTGTTAACTCAGGACTGGGTTGAGTATAGCCAATTGAGTACAGCCAATGGTAAATGGTGCAATAAAGAGACCATAACTACCCTCTCACCTGAACTCCAGGCAGCAATTCTGAAAAAGACCAGAAGTGGTTCTGAAATCAACTTGGTTGTCACACAGTGATGAACACGTAATGTGACAGTGAGGCTAACAGGTCTCATTGAGGCTTACTGTATTAAGAGAAGTGAAATCTGGCAGTTACAGATCCACATTTCCTGGTCCATCTGGCACTCATGTCATGACCACCTGAGTGGTGTGTCCAGTCTAGGTGCTCAAAGCTGAGAGAGGATTCTTAAGAAAACATGCCTTAAGCAGAATGATGCAAGAAGCTTAAAATCATTTACCTAACCATGGTTACCTAACCATGCTACATGGTTTAAAAGAAAGATGTTAGACTACTAGAGCGATCTTCATAGAATCACAGAATCATAGAACCACAGAATCAGCAAGGTTGGAAAAGACCTCCAATATCATCTGGTCTAACCATATGCCCCTCCATGAATATCACCCACTAAACTGTGTCCCAAAGTACCATATCCAACCTTCCCTTAAACATCCCCAGGGAGAGTTACTCCACCACCTCCCTGGCCAACCTGTTCAAATGCCTGACTGCTGTTTCTGAGAAGAAATTCTTCATGCTAACAATAATATCTGTGACACAATGTAATGTCGAGACATTGAAGCTAGAAGAGCTCAGACAGCAAAAAAAGATACATATATTTTTAATAACAACGCAGAATTAAAACCACTTACCACTAGACTTGACTGGATTTTTTTTTTATTTTTTTTTTGTCATTAGAAACTTTGAAGGGAAGATTGTGTGTATTTGTAAAGATTATTGTCGAGTTGACCATAGCTACTGGATTTGAAGGACTCTGGGAAGTCCTATATTCTTGGCTATGCAACAGTTCAGAGTGGAGAATCACAAGGTCTCTGCGGACCTTAGTATAAATTTCACTTAAACATACAGAAGTTAGTGATGGTCTTTTAAATGACAGTAGAGGGAATTTAATTACATAAGTGAGGACTGCTAGGAAACAAAGTAATTTCTGTCCTTCGCTATTATTTATCAGGGAGAACAAGAAACATGCCAGGAACAGAGATAAGGTTTCTGTGAAGAGAAGTAAGTAAAGAACAGGAAAACTACTGGAATGAAGCGGCACCCCTGAAAATGTTTAAAACAAAAATTAGATCATCTGATAATAAGAAAGAATCCAGGAAGGAATGGTCAGCATCCCACAGTCCTGAAAGACAAGACAGACACTATTGCAAAAAATAGCTGCAAGAATTTTTAACTTTTCACTGGCACCAAGAGAAGATTCTGCTAAGGACCAAAAAAAAGTAATGTTAGACTGGTGCTTAGGAAGACATCTGGGGAAACAAATAAACAAAAGCAAGCAAACAAACAAACAACAACAAAAAAAACACCTTCAGGAAGAAATTAAGATATATGTTATACACTAGAATAAATATGCTGGGAGGAAGACTGTTAACAAACCTAATTAATAGCAATAGAAATGTTTAAAAAGCGAGATTGAGTAGTGTAATTGAATATTGAAAAGTACATTGAGAGCACTCAATTCAAAAAAGCAGACAGTATTAACAAACCAGACTAACAGTAACAGAAGAGTTTAAAAGGCTAAAAGGAGGGTTTTATTGAACACTGAAAAGTATATCTAATGCACTCAATTTTAAAAAGCAAACATATCATAGTGTAAAAACACTAATGGTATCAATACTTTATCAAACAGAATTAAAACAATTGGTGAGTTTCCAGCCAAGATGAGAACATAATTGAAAATGGATGCACAGACTGTTTAGGAATGAGATGAGGAGCAATATGGGAAAGAAGAACACTGAGCTTAATCTTGCTCACAATATACCAGAAACTAGGAACTGGCAGTAATATGAACAATTTGTGTACAGCTTTGGGTGCCATGATATATGAAGGACATAAAACTATTTGAGAGTGTTCAAAGAAGGGCTACAAAGATGGTGAAAGGTCTAGAGGAGAAGACATATGAGGAGTGTCCGAGGTCTGTTTGTTTGTTCAGCCCAGAGCAGAGCAGGATGAGGGAAGGCCTCTTGGCGGCCTGCAGCTCCCTCACGAGGGGAGCAGAGGGGCAGGCGCTGAGCTCTGCTCCCTGGGGACAGCGACAGGACCCGTGGGAATGGCATGGAGCTGGGACAGGCTCCCCAGGGAAGTGGTTCACATCACTGAGACTACCACAGTTCAAGAAGTGTTTGGACGATGCACTCACACATATGGTTTGATATTTGTTCAGTTCTGTGTTGAGTCTAGGAGTTTGACTTGATAATGTTTGTGGGTTCCTTCCAACTTGGGATACTTTAAGACTCTCTGATTCTAATAAATGAGTGCAAATGAATGTAGAAGAGGAATGATACTGGATTCAAACAAATACAAGAAAATAGAGGCATGTGGGAAAACTGCTAATGCCATGTATGTAAAATATGAAAACTATGGTAACTAGATTTAAAACCAAAGAAAAGAGGACATGTTCTTAGGCCTGATGATGTTAGGCAGGATACAGGTAATGAAACAAATTGTTTTGGTGGCAATGGCAACAGAATCTTTGAAAGCATCACTCAGAGCTGGCAGCAACTAGTGAGTGGAAAAATCTACTATGAACCAGATATATCCGCACTGCTGCACAATGGCTGCACAATGCAAGGATACCCATGTTGGCTTCAAATGACCAGATCTGAAACTTGAAGGAGTGTGGTGCCATCAATCAAATAAAAAAACTGGGGCAAAATCAACTTGTGCTCATATGCTTGTTTCCAAAAGCAACCCATTAATTAGAATAAATTATCTGTCTCTCCCCATCCCCACAAAGTGGCAGACCACAAACCCCAAACTGAAAGACATACTATTTTCCTGTCGTAGGATTCTCCGCTGCTGTATGTTGTAGCTAGTGTGGATGCACATTCTTCTAGGTACCACGGCTTCTTCCCACTTTCAGCTGTGCTGCTTATGGAGATAGTGTAGATGCTATTGGTGTAGCCATCACAGGAGCAGTGGTCTCGACTCCTTCCACCATTTCCAGATGCCCAGACAAAAACTGAACCTAATCCTCTTCGTCCCTGTTTGGAAAGAGCAGAAGAAGATTTGATTCATAACTCTTTTTTCCTCTCATCACTTGCATAACAAGTAGGTATTTGTCCCTAAGAGACATCTGAAGAGAGAAAAACAAAAAAAACAAACTATCTCACTGAGAAGAATCTGAAATAAAAGCAGGATTTAGTAGAGTTCAGAATGAGACATCCACCCCCCCAAAAAAATCAGAAAATGTGTGTGATGAACAGAACTTTAGAAATAACTTTTATACAGTGTCTGCTGCTCAACACCTGTATTGCTCAGCCTTACTAAGAAAGAGGTGCTTAAGACAGACCAGGCATTAAAACATCATATTGAGTTGAAACAGGAGAAGAAGTATTATGCTTGAAAATAAAACCTTTTTTAATGCACGGCACCTTTTGTTTATTAGGGTTCTGTCAGCTGTTTCTTCTTGAATTGCCTGGTGACACTGAATATAGTTTGGGTAGCATTATATACTGTGAATCATGGTGTCGTGGTTTCACAGAAGGTGAAATTATATAGGTTTCACTATAAATCACAGAATCACAGAGCATCTGAGGTGGGAAGGAACTTCAGGTCATCTAGTCCAACCCATCTAGGTCATTATAAATACTAAGTACACAACACAATAGATGAACAAAAATGGACAAAAAGAAGATACTTTTAAATCCATACAGTTAAGCACTAATGCATTAATTCAGCAAGACATTTTAAACATATGAATAGCTGGACAAATTGCTTAGGCATATTTGTAATTTGAAATGAGAACTTAGAATTAGGTAACCTTTTGACATTTTCTTAATATGCCAAAGGTATGTAGTGTTTAAATAAATAAAAGCGTATTTTTGGTGGTGCTAGTACTCTTGCATTGATGTGAAAAGTGAAAAAGGTCAGTAATCCCTGTTGTTGATACATGGGAACTGAGAATTACTGATACACAGTCATGGGAATTGGCTTTTCCTGATTTATATTTGCACTTTTCATAGAATCATGGAATCATAGAATTTAGGTTAGGTTAGGTTAGGTTAGGTTAGGTTAGGTTAGGTTAGGTTAGGTTAGGTTAGGTTAGGTTAGGTTAGAAGGGACCTTAAAGATCATCTTGTTCCAACCCCTCTGCCATGGGCAGGGTGGCCAACCTCTAGAACAGGTTGCCACCTTTGTCCAACTTGGTCTTGAACACCTCCAGGGATGGGTCACGCACTAGTTCTCTAGGCAAACTCATGCTGGTGAATTAAATTCAAATCCATGCATCTTTCTGATCTGCATTAATTATCAGCAGATAATATATACTGTTCATATAGGAATGTTTACCAAAGGTTTAAACTTGTCTTTGATTAAGCTAAATTGTATCACCTTTTCTTACATGACATTCTCTCAAAGCAATGGAACATCCCTCTAAGTTACAATTAAACTAACAGTCTCATTTGTACCTCATTAGTCTGCAAGTCATCATGTAATGTCTACCTGGGTTCTGTAAGAGGTAGCTGCCTCTCCTGCTCTCCCTGTGTGTGATAAATTAGTGTTATATGGTGTACAACATTTTTTTTTGTGCATGAATTAATTGCTTAGCCATGTGGGGAGTGTTTGTTTTTCTAAACAGAGTGCAGTTGTGTACCACAAATAACATAAAGACAGCTGTTGGACATCTACTAGGTCAACCTTAAACAATTAGCAATTCAAAGATTCATTTACTCCAGATGTACAGAGAGGTTTCATTTTGGCATTTTATGCTGAGAATGTAAATCAATGTAAGAAAAAATCCCTCACAGTTCACAATCAAAGCTTCAGTTCTCAAACATTTATGCATTTCATTTTGTGAGTTTAATAAAAGCATAGTACCTGAAGAGACTCTTTTCTCCAGCAATATAAGTTAAATATAAAATTCTCCTTGCTAATGTTTACCTAAGGTTATGTCTCTGCCATGAAACTTCTCACTAAATAAGAAAACATCTTAAGTGAAGAAAAAAATTCCAGTATGCCAAGTTAAATGTGTTACGAAATCCACATTCTCCAGACAAGATTAGTCTGAGCAGCTAAGAAGTACAAATATTTCAACTTATTTCTCTTCCTTTAGTTGATTTTAGCTACTACGCAGATAAAAAAGATGCAAAATAGTAACATTTATTTTTGTTTTAGAGACAAGTTTTCTGAAGTGAAAATCTACCCCTGTCCTACAGCTCCTTCAGCACATTATGAACATTTGTCAAGTGAAAAACCCTTTTGGTTTTGTTCTGGGGTTCTTGTTCTGCTCTTCTCAGCCAACAGTGTCTGATTCAGAGCTGCCTAAAGTCAGTGGGATGTGCTTTGCAACTTCATGTGACTGGAACAGGTTTGCATACCATTTCTCTTTCATTCTACTTTATGGTCACCTCTCTTTGTATATCTTTACTTCATACTCCATTGAAAACACTTGATGAGATAGATGTGAGAAAGGATAAACAGAAAGATTATTTCATGCATATTCACTGATTTACTATCCCAGCAGGTAAGGAAGCCAGAAATTAGGACACTCTGCATGTCTGAAGGGAATGGGATGGAGGTTTATGCTAAAGATAGGATGCTTCTCTACTTTGTACTCTATTCCTGCTTGATTTTTAGTGTTTTTGTTTCAGTTTGATCCCATCATCTCTTGCTATTATGTAATGCTTTCCAGAGGTACATTATTATTTGCTTTCTTCTTCTGTCTCCCAAATGGTCATTTTTGACTTGTCTGTCAATCCTGACATTTGCTAAAGGGTAATTTACAGATTTCTGTCTAGTGCTACACTGCTTTTACAAAACAAATTATCTCTCCTACATACATACACGTCAACAATATAATACATGGATAGGTAGGTAGAAATGACACTGCAAAGCATATCACACAGATGAACTTCTATCTCCATAACTAGACAATATACTTTATCAAAACCTTTTGATGAATTTTCAAAAGTGTTCCTGAAGAATTTTAGATTCATCTTTTTCATATGTGTTTCCTGAAAGCAAAGTATTATGTACAGCAAAGTATTAGTATTTTTGGCTAAATTGATACCCAATTGGAAATTCAGAGTAACCCACCAACACAACCTAAAAAGGAAAAGTGAGAGTTCAGGGTAGTGTAACCAAAGATCCAAGGAGGAGAAAAATGGAAACTAAATATTTGGCTTTTTTGTCTAAGTCTGTCTCTGACATTTATATATGTATATATCTATATCTATATCTATATCTATATCTATATCTATATCTATATCTATATCTATATCTATATCTATCTATCTATCTATCTATATATATATGTATATATATATATATAAAAAGCATGCATAGAAGATTAAAGCATAAGAAAACAATCAAACAAACAAAACAACTATCATTAATAGTCGACCTGTCTTTTTTATTTTTATTATTTTTATTATTTATTATTTATATTACTTTATTATTAATATTATTATTATTATTATTATTATTATTATTATTATTTATATTTATATTTATATTTATATTTATATTTATATTTATATTTATATTTATATTTATGTTATTTATATTATTTTTTTATTTTTCCCATCATCAGGCTGAAAAGTCTGCAAGCAGCAGCATAACACGATTTGTCCCACTCACAATGAAAACCATTTCACAGCAGGATAGGACTGTACTTTGTGTAAGTTTTGCAGACACAACCCTTGAATTATTAGTTTCTCTGCACATAGAATGTGTCTACACTTCTTTATATGCATACTTATGCTGCTGTTCTAATAATGAAAAAATGAGCTGCAGAGAAAGATATGTGAATACTTTTTTGGGCATAAAATTTAGTCCTACTGAAAACATGCCCACGTATATTAAAAATTCTGCAATGCAGTATTTAAAAATAATAAACACCCATTTACATTTTAATAGTAATCATTGGGGTTTAAAAATAATAGCCATTTGCACCCAGGTTTACCTTTACATGCTCGTTTTTTTGTAAAAAACTGATATAAAATATCTGTTAAAAAACTAATGCCTCCTGTAAATATATTAAGATCTCTGTCATATTAACATCTCTGTCATTGCACTACAAAGTAAGAACCAGGTGCACTGACTAATGGTAAGGAATATTTTCTAATACATACAAAGAAAGAACTCCCATTCCCTAATACACTGCAATATAGCACATTTAACAACTCGGCATTTCTCCGAAAATAGCATTACCTTGTGTCTGGAAAACGTGCTAAAAATCTCATTCTTAAAATCTATTTGGCAAAGAAAATGGTGACCTTAAAAAAAAACACAAACAAAAACAAACAAACAAAGAAAAAAAACAACCCCCCCAAAAAAAAACAACAAAAAAACAAACCAAACCTGTGCTTTATGTGTGCATTACAAATTTGACCTGAACAAAATAATATGTCAAGTAAATAAGTTCTGTTTTACATTTACTGCCTATTGTCAAACTACTATTTGGTTTCCTCCTCCCCGTCTCCAAACACCTTACTTTATTTCAATAGACCCAGTCATGCTCAGGAAATTATAAACTTGTTAGCAACTATACTAAACAAGTAATTAGAGCAACAACATCAGCTGTCCTACTGTATGCGAATGCCTTTCCCAATTGGTCTCCTTTCAATACATGAAGTTAAATAACATTTGGACTGTGTTACAAAGCTAAGATAAACACACATGCAAGGCACTCTGTAGCTTTTACTGTTTGTCTAAATCTATCATCTGTCATCTGCCAGATGCCCAAGGGTGTCAAGATGAAAAGTCAAGCCTTGAGCTGCCAAAGAAGTCATGTGTCATTTATTACTGAAAAGCAAAGGTGCATTTACAAACCATATGGGTACAACTTGGACAAAACTAAAAGAGTTACTGAATTACAGCAGAGGCATGGACCAGGGTGGAATGGGTGTACAGCAAAGTATGCTCAATGCTTGTCCCATGATTTTAAAAATGCACTGCCTCACCTTGTAGGCACATTGTTGTGTCTGCTCTGCAATTTGCAGTGTTACCTGTTGACTCTCTCTCACAAACTCTGCAAGGTGTC